TTTATCTCCGGCAGCACCATCACCGCCGCTCTTTTTATCTCCTGCATCTTTTTTGGGCGGCGATGATATAAGGTCGACCTTCTTTTTGGTTTTGATCTCCACTCTTTCCCGGAGCCATGAAGGGTCTACATCACCTTTAATCGTCAATTTTCCAGTTTCACAATCCGATTTCACTTTTTCCACACCTTCATTAGAATCAAACACAAATTCATTAAGCCCAAAGCTAAATATAAACATTGTGAGTTCTAAATCGAAAAAAAATAAAAATTGGGGATAGGAGAAATGGAAATGGGAGAGGAAAGTGATAAATTGAAATAAGTTTAGTTACCATGAGTATGGCGAATGAATCGTCTGACTTTTTGTGCACAACCTTCACAATGCAAATCCAGCTTTAAAACAATTGAGGCATCACTCTTTTTCTCTGCTCCTTCAACTTTGGTTTCTTCACCCATTTGTTAGAATTGGAGAATAATTATTAGTATAAAGTTTTTGTGAGGATTTAATTGAAATGAAGTGAATGGATATTGAAAGTATATTTATTTATATAAAGAGAGGATGGAGGCGGTAGGAAACCGACTGGGAAAATGAGAGGCGGTTTTTTACTTGTTCTTACCACCCAACTTTGACTTCCTTTTATAATTTTACCTTTCCAATTACAGTTTTGAACATATAATACCAACTAGTATACAGTGTTAAGGTTGTTGTTTGGAAGAAATATAATACACTCCTGAATTCTCGTCAAGATTAAAAGTGTTTTTAGCGGTTCTTTTTATTAAGATTTTTGTGCTTCTATAATACTCTCTCCGTCCCTTTTTAGTTGTCCACTTTAGAAATGGCACACAGATTAAGACAACAATGATTAGCACAATGAAGTTACAATTTTACCCTTATGACAACTTTTCACTTCAAAATTACAACCACTTATTTGAATTCAAGTGAAATAAATTGGAGGGAAACAACATACACTTTTACAATTTTCAAGAAGTGTAAATAAGGGTATAATAGGAAAAAAATTGTTGTTCTTTCTTGATTTGTCAAAATGGACAACTAAATAGGGACAACTAAAAAAGGAAATATGGACAAGTAAGTAGGGACGGAGGGAGTATAAGAGTTGAGTTGAGACCACTTGTTAATGTCATATCTACTGTCTATAAGAGTTGAGTTTGAGACCACTTGCTATGTTATGTCTACTGTCTACTGTCTACAAGAATTTGAGATCATTTGGTAATGTCATATTGCATATATTTAAGTTTAGTTAATCAAATAAAGAAGTGTTTTCTCTAACTATGATGATAAATTAATTATAATATAAATAATAGGTATGTATAAGTATTTACCGTGGATCTGTCTATGTCCAACGCAGCTGGTTAACCATAGACAAAAATTTGACTTTAACGTGTTAATGTTAGTCTCAGCAAATACGTCAGGTGCTAAAAGTTGAAGTAGATGGGTTGAGTTAAAGTCATTGGTGACGATCATAATTGTCAATGAAGTCAGCTATGAACCACAATGCCATAATCTGCATTTAGGCTGACCCAACAAATAATTAGTAACACTTATCCCTTTCTAATTTATTTACTATCATTTTATTTAGTCTACTTAAATTTTTTATTGTTATTATTTTGAGATTTGAATTTGAAATCTCAAGATAAATTTTAGATTCCTAACCTCCAAGCAATTTATATTCAAGGGATTGAATATATATATATATATATATATATATATATATATATATATATTAAAAATTACTATATATAACAATATAAAAATTATGAAGATTAAGTCAAAATCATCCAAGTTCGGAAAATACGCCACTAACGGCCCTCGAATCATGGATAAATCTTATGAGAGAGAGGAATCAAGGGATTAACAGATATGTACACACAATCTTGATGAATAAATTTATGTTTCTTCATATTTCATTTGTGATTGTAATTTATTTTCTGTCACTTTAAAATTTGTTGCAAACAACAAGTGTGAAAGGGCAGGGAGTGGAGAGAGATTAATTGTATTAATTTGTATATCTTTCATATAATAGTATATGTATATATATAATTTGTATTTGTACATGTATATAAAAGAGGAGAGAAGCGAGAGAGAGGAAGAGAGGAGAGAGGCGACGTAATTACAACTAAAATTAAGCTTCGAGCCGTAACTAGTTCAAACTATAGCTATATTAGTTAATTAACTTGCTATGCCAGGTTTAATGTCTATAAGAGTTTGTGACCACTTGTTATGTCATGGTGCATATCGAGTGTATCTAAATTTAGTTAGTTAAATAAAAGAGTTTGAGACCACTTACTATGCCATATTGTATATCGAAATGTGTCTAAGTTTAGTTAGTTAAATAAAAAAATATTTTAAAGATGTCAATAGTATATAAACTATATATAGGCATGTATAAGTATTTACCGTGGTTAATCATAGATAAAATTTTGACTTTAACTTGTTAATGTTAGCCTCAGCAAATACGTCAGGTGCTAAAGTTAAGTTGGTGGGTTCAATGGCTGAGTTAAATTTATTGGCACTGAAGTCAGCTAAGAACGACAATGCCATAATATGCATTTTAGCTGCCCAAAAAATAATTACTTAACACTTATCCATTTTAATTAATTTATTTTTTAAGTAGGTGTTTGAACATGTAATTTTATATTGTGATATAAAATTATGAGATAAAATTAGTGTTTCGACATGTGATTTCACGTTGATTTCATCTCATAATTTCATATCATAAGATGAAATCTCAAATTCTCCAAAATCATGATTTCGGAATTTCAAGTACAAAAATTGACCACAAGTTTATATCTTGTAAAAAAAAACCCACATTTTATTTATGTATATCTATAAGCCATTTGTTTCATATCTAAATAAAATTTATAATTCATATTATTACTTTTTAAATTGTTTATATCTCATATAACGATTTTCTCGTCAATATAAAATTTAGTTTTACTTCAAATCAATTCTTAATTTACCATTTATATCCACCAAGTTCATTATTATTATTTTTCAAATTTATTACTACTTCATTCAAATCAATGTTTAATACATCATTATATTGAGTGGACAAGACTAACCACTGTATCATTAATTGAAGAACAATTTTCTTAACTACTAATTAACAACTAGAACACTACAACTTATGTTCAATTAAGTTTTTTTTTATTGAATTAAGGTTTGATCAATAAATATTGTATTTTTTAGAATAATTTTATGATAGTGTATTATGCGATTTTTTTTACTTATTTGATAAGATTGTATAAAGAATTGAGTCAATTTTGATAGTTTTACAACTTATGAGACATTTATGTTTATGAGAAAATATACAATATAAAAAGTCCAAATAGCATGTCCAAACAAAACTTCAACTTCATCTCATGATTTTATATTATGATTTCATATCGCATGGTCAAACGTGCCCTTAGTCTACTTAAATTTTTTATTGTTACAATTGTTATATCATCTCTTTGATAATCATGGTCAGAAGAGAATGTTGTCATTAGTTCATATTAAGTGAATTGTTAAATTATGATAAATTTTTTTGAAAAAATAATTAATTATTTTCAAACCATTTTTCTAAAAGATATAAAATTAATTATATCCTTCGAGGTGCCTTAATGATTTGAGCTTTAAACTTTCATATTGGAGGTTTCACGTTTGAAATTCCTTACCATTAAAAATAAGAAATTTACCTTCTGAGTCAACCTCATCACACTAAAATTTACTTAATGCGAATTGACTATATAATTTGCAAGTCATTGCATAGAAACCAAGTTTTAGCCTATGCTTGAGACCCCACTAATAATCCATATAGCAAAGGAGAAAAGTAGCTTCCTAGTGTGTCTCATTAAACATGTCGGATTTTCTTTTAGAAAAGATAAGATCAGAGAAAATTCCTTCAAAACGTCATATTTGTACGGATCCGACATGTCATTCACCACAATTTAGGAAAACCAATAACGTGTCTTTCACCATCAATATTAGCTGTGAGATATACTATGATTTTACAAATTGCAATTCGCATCCGTTGTTTCCTTTTCAATTTTAATGAAATTCGGTTGTGTTTGATTTTGTTTTTGTGATTTCATCACATGAAGGTTCATGAGAGGAGAGTATTTGGAAAAAATTATAATACTAATCAAATGTTACTCCCTCCGTCTATTTTCACTTTCATATACTTTTAAAAGTAGCAACACAGTTAAACATGTTTATAATTTTGTTATAACGATATTTTATTATAATGATCTGATTTTCTTTAGAATTGATTTTTCATATTATATTTATTTTACTTCTTTATAGCAATATTATACTTAGAACAATAATGATATTTATTAGAGCAATACATTCCTTGTAAAATTACACATTTATAACATACGTACACTTGCTATAAAATAAGCTAGTATTTTATCTTTGTTATCTTTTCTCAATAATGAGAAACAATTTGAAAGAATCAAATTGACCGATATAATTACTGATTTTAAAGCTCCAAATAAATAGGCTTACTTTTTCTTCACTTGAATATATCATAATTACAAGAATCTAAATTTGTATATAGTGTCGTAAGACAAAAAAATCAATAATAATAATAATAATCTAGTTTTAGTGAATTGAATGTGTATTCATGATTTGGATGTGAATAAGAAAGACTTATTCATCGATCTATTAGCGAACCATCTCTTGAGGGATTGTGAAAGATGTTCTAACATTACAGTTATATTCAAATATTATGTCATAATATTTTATATGAAATATATTATGTATAAAATAAAATATTTATAATAATCATCATTAAATGTTATGTACATAATAAATTTTAATGTTAAAATTTAAAATTAAAAGGTAAGAAATTGTATTTAAATAATGTCCATCAATGATAGTCATGACTTCACAAAGAAATGCTCATGATATTTGCTTTTTGAGAAAAGACATAAAGTGACATATTCACTCCTTCTAATGTTGCATAATTTTTTATAGAGACCAACTAAATGAGATTATATAAATTTTGCCAAAAATTGAATATTTTAAGCTACCAATTAATAAATGACATACAAGTCAAAATAAACAAATAAATAAATACTGATTAATCCACCACTAGATAGTGGTTTAGCCCTTTTCCCACTAATTAGCATATAAAATTTCCTAAGACGACACTCTATAGTCTATCCTCATTTATAAGCTAGCTTTAATAGGTACCTATTTTTCAGCTTTTACATCTTAGACTTTTGTACAATTATATTTAGCTGAACCAATCAAATAAAAATGAGGTCACCATCGAGGTCGCTCTACTTCGTAGACAAGACTCCTAATGAGAGTTTGTCTTTCAGAAAGGTTGATGAAAATCGATCATTTTAATTTACATAATGAAACAACCATTAGGATTTTCATCACTGAACATTTGAGGTGCATTCAAGTACGTTGGTGGAGGAGGTGGTGGCACATATTGTGGCTGGTGGCCATACTCGACTACGTAGCCTGTATGACCATAACCATGATCATACATTGTGGCGCCATTCATATAACCATGATGTTGCATAGGCATCGCGTAAAATGTATTTGCATTATAACCATAGTATTCCATTTTGTTAACGACCTCACCACCTCCACCTCCACTACTAGCCACCTTCGATTCACCGTCTTTTTTCTCTGTATCGCCTTTTTCTTTCTTGTCTCCGCCTTTGCCACCACCGCTCTCTTTATCCTTCTTGTCATTGTCACCTTCCTTGGCTTTCTTTTCACCACTTCCAGTGTCCTTAGATGGAAGGACTTCAACATTTTGCTTCAATTTATCAATCAAGTAAGGAGTTAGCTTCTTTATATCCATTGTCCCCTTTACAGTGGCCAAATCTTTTTCTGATTCTATATTCACTTCTTGTACCCCTGTTCAAAAAAATGAGCAGACAATAAGGATACCGATCTAACACATATCATACGGATTCACGAAAATTCAATAACTTTTTACGATGTCTACACTATACATTAAGAAATCAACTAATCTCATGTTTTAATGTAGTTGGGATTGAATCTAGCTAGGGCCTAGGGGTACCCCTCGTAAAGACTAAAATCATGAATCCAATTATTAAGACTTCATAATTAATGGTGTTACACCTAATTTAATATATTATTCTAAACTAGGTAATTAATTAACAAACTAATTAAGGGGATTCAGTGTATCTTACCTTTAATCTTTTTAATAACTCGTTTTATTTTATGTGCACATCCATCACAATGCACCCGAATCTTCAATGCCACCACACTGATTACTTGAGCCTAAATGACCACAAAAAAAAATAATTAGTGCTAATTCAATTAATCTAATCCATAATTAACTAACATCAGAACATTAATTATGTAATTAAGTTACCAACTATAGAAAAAAAAACTAGAAATGAAACTGAAAATTTTAATTTTTACCTCTTTAGGTTTCTTCTCGTCGGCCTTCTTGTCCTCTGTTTTTTTCTCTGTTTTTTCAGCGGACTTTTTATCTCCGGCAGCGCCATCACCGCCGCTCTTTTTATCTCCTGCATCTTTTTTGGGCGGCGATGATACAAGGTCGACCTTCTTTTTGGTTTTGATCTCCACTCTTTCCCGGAGCCATGAAGGGTCTACGTCACCTTTAATCGTCAATTTTCCAGTTTCACAATCCGATTTCACTTTTTCCACACCTTCATTAGAATCAAACACAAATTCATTAAGCCCAAAGCTAAATATAAACACTGTTGAGTTCTGAATCGAAAAAAAAAATTGGGGATAGGAGAAAGGGAAATGGGAGAGGAAAGTGATAAATTGAAATTAGTTTAGTTACCATGAGTATGGCGAATAAATCGTCTGACTTTTTGTGCACAACCTTCGCAATGCAAATCAAGCTTTAAAACAATGGAATCACCGCTCTTTTTGTCTCCTCCTTCATTCTTTTTCTGTGCTCCTTCAACTTTGGTTTCTTGACCCATTTGTTAGAATTGGAGAATTATAGTATAAAGTTTTTGAGAGGATTTAATTAATGAAAATGGAGGCAATTGAAAGTATTTATAAAGAGAGATTAATTATTATGATGGAGGCGGTAGGAAACCGACTGGGAAAATGAGAAGGCGGTTTGTTACTTGTGCTTACCACCCAAGTTTGACTTCCTTTTTTATTTTACCTTTTCAATTACAGTTGAAGATAATAAGAGAAATACCAACTAGTATTAAATTAAAATGGTTTATAAATTTGAAACACCAATTTACTTTACGCCTTTGAATTCTCGTCAAGATTAAAGGTGTTATCAATGATAAGAGTTGAGTTTGAGATCACTTATTATGTCAAATTTGCTGTTTATGAGAGTTTGTAACTACTTATTATGCCATGTTGCATTTCGAGAGTATCAATTTTAGTTAGTTAAATAAAAAAGTGTATGTTTATAAGAGTTTAAAACCACTTGATATGTCATGTTGTATATCGAAATACATATATAAGTTTAATTAGTGAAACAAAAAAAATATTTTAGAGATGTCAATAGTATATAAACTATAGGCATGCATAAGTATTTACCGTGGTTAATCATAGATAAATTTTTTACTTTAACTTGTTAATGTTAGCCTCAGCAAATACGTCAGGTGCTAAAGTTAAGTAGGTGGGTTCAATGGCTGAGTTAAAGTCTTTGGCACTGAAGTCAGCTAAGAACGACAATGACATAATATGCATTTTAGCTGCCCAAAAAATAGTTACTTAGACCATCTCTAACTCACCTCTATTTTATTCTTTATTTTTTATATTTGGAGAGTAAAATAGAGAATGAACACTCCAACCTACCTTCAAATCACTCTCTATTCTTTAAATTTAGAGAGTTGAATAGTAGTTCTTCAAATTTGGAGAACTACTATTCACACTCTCTATTTCACTTTTTCAATATTTTATTATTATTTCTATTACTTTCTAATTAACATATTATTTTACATATAATGTCATTAATTAAATTCTAATATTCACAATTCTTTTTAAATGTAATATAATATTTTTAAAAATATATTATCTAATATATACTACTTTAATCTTGAATTAATAGTATTTTAATTTTTTCTAATTTTCGTCATAATATAATTTGATTTTATTATTAATTTTCACTATAAAGAATATACAAAATTAAAATGATAAGATGAAAAAATTAATTTAAAAATACAATACATAATATGTTAATTTAAATTCAAGATAACAATACACTACATAACATAATAATTTAAATACAAGATAAAATACAATACATAACATAATAATTTAAATACAAGATAAAATACAATACATAACATAATAATTTAAATACAAGATAAAATACAATACATAACATAATAATTAATTTATCACAACAATAATTAGTAATCCGGTAGGTCGTTTCCAGATTTAGCACTATTTGAAAAAAAATTAGGATATGATCTAGAGAATTGTTGCGATTGTGGTTGTGATTGGGTTGTGACTGCAGTTGTGATTGTCGATTTCTTTTTTCAAGTATTAGTTGTTGTTCTCGTTGCAGGTAGTCACGAACATTTGCAATCACGTTTTGCAATTATTGCAAGATCGTCACGTTTTTTGGAGAAAGGAAGTGTTACATGATATAATGATTACATATATTATACTGCACAACATGATAATTGAGGATGAACGTGATCTTAATGCACCAATTCAAGATGTCGTAGAAGCTCCAGCTCTAACAACATAATTGGTGGTAGATGAAAATCTCCGTTTGAAGACATAAAATAATTAAGGACAAAAATGCTCATTTTGAACTCCATAATGCATTAATAGAGCATTTATGGGAGCAACGTAGTAATTTTAAAAATTGAGTGTTTATGTAATGCTTATGTAATTCTATTTCACTTTTATTTGAATTTTTTCATTAATTTGTTTATTATATTATATTTTCTTGCAATTTATGTTATTTAAAAATTTAGAATGAAATATAATTTTATATTAAATAAAAAAATTTTAAAAACAAAAGTTTATATCACATGAAAATTATATAAAGTAATTATTTGGGAAAAAGAAATAAAGGATTTATATTATGAAATAAGAAAATAAGAATGAAATAGAAATAATAGTATAATATTGAGGAGAGAGAAAGAAATTCTTTTTTAGAGAGTAAAATAGAGAATTTGGTTGGAGTTGATTGTCTGAAAAAATAAATAACTCTATATTTAGAGAGTAAAATAGAGCGTAGGGTTGGAGATGCCCTTAACACTTATCCGTTTTAATTTATTTATCTTTTTTTAGTAGGCGTTTGGACATGCAATTTCATATCGCGATATAAACTCATGAGATGAAATCAATGTTTGGACATGCGATTTCACGCTAATTTCATCTTATAATTTCATATCAAGAGATGAAATCTCAAATTCTCCAAAAATCATAATTTGAGAATTTCAAATCATGGTTTGAAAATTTTCAAATACAAAAATTGATTCATAAGTGTATATCTTGAAAAAACCCACATTTAATCTAAAATTATTTTTTTTAATCATAATCCTCAGTAATGATATTTATATTAAATTACCAAATATAGAAATATACTATTATTTTTTAAGAAATTTTTAAAAATAAAGTATGTCACACAACTATGTGCATAGATTAAAGCCACCTTTGAAAGTGCATGGACAAGGGATATAAAATTCTCAATCAATTTTAACTAGGACATCTTTTAGTTTTATATTATCTCTTTGATATTCATGGCAGAAGAGAATGTTGTCTATGATAAATTCTTTTGAAAAAATGATTAAGTATTTTCAAATCATTCTTCTAAGAGATATAAAATAATTATATTCTTCGAGGTGCCTTACTGGTTTGAGCTTTAGATTTTCATATTGGAGGTTTCACATTTGAAACTCTATTATCATTAAAAATAAGAAATTTATCTTCTGGATCGAGCTCGTCACACCAAAACTTACTTAATGCAGATTGACGGTGTGATTTGCAAGTCATTGTATAAAAACGGAGGCTTAAACCCATGGTTAAGGCCCCATTAATAATCCATATAGCAAGGAGAAAAGTAGCTTCCTAGTGTGTCTCATTAAACATGTCGGATTTTCTTTTAGAAAAAGATAAGATCAGAGAAACTTCCTTGAAAACGTCATATTTGTACGGATCCAACTTGGCATTGCCCACAATTTAGGAAAACCAATAACGTGTCTTTCACCATCAATATTAGCTGTGAGAGTATGATTTTACAAATTGCAATTTGCATCCGTTGTTTCCTTTTTAATGTTAATTAAATTTGATTGTGTCTGATTTTGTTTTCGTGATTTCATCACACGAAGGTTCAGAATTTCAGAGTACTAGGAAAAGAAAAAATTATAATACTAATCAAATGTTACTCCCAACCCTATTTTTACTTTCATATACTTTAAAAGCAACAATACAGTTAAACATGTTTATAATTATCATTCGTTATAAAGATATTTTATTAATAATGATCTGATTTTCTTTAGAATCGATTCTTCATATTATATTTGTTTTACTTCTTTATATCAATATCTTACTTAGAACAATAATGATATTTATTGGAGCAGTACATTCCTTGTAAAATTACACATTTATAACATAATTACTTTTACTATAAAAACAATTTGAAAGAATCAAATTGACTGATATATAGAATTACTGATTTTAAATCCCCAAATAAATAGGCCTACTTTTTCTTTCACTTGAATATATCACAATTACTAGAATCTAAATTTGAATGTCGTGTCGGAAGAAAAAAAAAGAATAAATAATAATAATAATAATCTAATTTTAGTGAATTGAATGTGTGTTCATAATTTGGATGTGAATAAGTCTGAAAGACTTATTCCTCGGTCTATTAGTGAACCATCTCTTGAGAGATTGCGAAAGATGTTCTAACAATTATATTCAAATATTGTGTCATAATATTTTATATGAAATATATTATGTATAAAATAAAATATTTGTGATAATCATCATTAATGTTATGCTTATCTTTTAATTTTAAATTTTAAAATTAAAAAATAAGAAATTGTATTTTAAATGATGTCCGTCAATTATAGTCATGACTTCACAAGAAAATGCTAGTAATATTTGCCTTTTTTATATTCATTCTTTCTAATTTTGCATGATTTTTTATACCAACTAAATGAGATTATATAAATTTTGCCAAAGATTGAATACATTTTAAGCTACCAATTAATAAATGACATGCAAGTCAAAATAATACTGATTAATCCACCACTATATGGTGGTTTAGCCCTTTTCCCACTAATTAGCTTATAAAATTTCCTAAGACGACACTCTATTGTCTATCCTCATGTATAAGCTAGCTTTCATAGGTATCTATTTTTCAGCTTTTACATCTTAGATTTTTGTACAATTATATTTAGCTGGACCAATCAAATAAAAATGAGGTCACAATCGAGGTCGCTCTACTTCATAGACAAGACTCCTAATTAGAGTTTGTGTCTTTCAGAAAGATTGATAAAAATCGAACATTTTAATTCACATAATGAAACAACCATTAGGATTTTCATCACTGAACATTTGAGGTGCATTCAAGTACGATGGTGGAGGAGGTGGTGGCACATATTGTGGCTGGTGGCCATACTCGACTACGTACCCCGTATGACCATAACCATGATTGTACGTTGTCGCGCCATAGTCTTGATTCATATAACCATGATGTTGCATAGGCATCGCGTAAAATGTATTTGCATTATAACCATAGTATTCCATTTTGTTAACGACCTCACCTCCACTACTAGCCACCTTCGATTCACCGTCTTTTTTCTCTATATCGCCTTTTTCTTTCTTGTCTCCGCCTTTGCCACCACCGCTCTCTTTCTCCTTCTTGTCATTGTCACCTTCCTTGGCTTTCTTTTCACCACTTCCATTGTCCTTCTTAGATGGAAGGACTTCAACATTTTGCTTCAATTTATCAATCAAGTAAGGAGTTAGCTTCTTTATATCCATTGTC